GAAAGTTAAGGCTACGATGATAAAACGTTGAGAAAGAAAGCAAATTCTTGGGAAGAAATTTTGCAAAAATTCAACTCCCGAAATCCAAATGGAATCAAACAGGACATGAATCAGATCCAAGGATGCTGGAGGCGCGGATGAAACTCCAATCCAAGAAAGAACACGATTTGCAACGTCGTGAAACAAGAAAAACTGGCTGAGGAAAAGCTCCTGCCTCCCCAAGTGAAGTGAGTAAATCAGTTGCCGATGTTATACCAGCTTCCATGAATCCGCTTGAGCAACCATTTGATGATGACGCAGGAGAGGAACCTACTTCAAGACGGGGAAAAGACGAGAGGGACTCTACCATACGCGAAGCGGGGCCAAGTGTACATGCTGATGTTGAAGTTATTAGCGGGAAAGGAGCAAAACTCACAAGACAGAAGTATAGCAGATTTTGAAAGCCTCAGAAAGTCGTTTATTGCATGATAATTTATTATATTATACATAATTACTAATCGTCAGTTGACTTTACATCGACAGGTGCAAACGTCAAAGAACAGATTCTCCCGAGGATGAAAAACCAAATAAATCACCAATAACCCGCTCGAATGCTCCTGTTGCATAAAATCTGAAAGCAATTAGAACTTGCTGCATTGGTGTAAGGGGCAGACCTCTCCTTGTTTGATGTTGAAGATCGTTATCCAAAATTCGTACGAGGTCAATGAGCAAGTCCTTTCCGGCTAAGGCGAAAACGCAATCGAAATTCTTGGTCAACGTATTCTTCTAAAGGGTTAAATCTGTCCCTAAGGTGCCGAATGTGTCTAACATGTATGTTACGTCGATTGGCGTAGTCTTTTAACTGTCTGTAGCGCTGTAGTCCGTCCATTTCAAAATGGCTGACCACGAAAACCCGTTTAACAACGCAAATCTACCTGTGAGCAGGTCTAAATTACTGTTGTTCCTTAGTCGGTGTTTAGACAAAGTCTAACACACAGTTATGGAAGAAAAACGTTTAAATAATCGGTATTCATGGTTTAAACATGGGTTAGACGACGACTTTAATAAACGCTGTCTAAACTTCGTTTAAGTAACCGGCCCAATGTTTTCAGCAAAACAGCGATACAATCCATGCAAAAACACTGAAATCCAGCTCAAAAGCAGTGTTCTCAGTGAAATTTGGGCAAAAAAAAAACGCGTAAAAAATGCAAAACCACAACAAAAATGCTTTATTTTACCCATTTCACCAATGTACACTGGGTTTAAGCTAGGTTTCAGTGTTTTCCCACAGATTCTTTAAACATGGTTTAACCGTTGTTTATCAAGACAACGTCTAAACCGCGGCTCGGTTCTAAACACGGTTTAACTTAGACTTGGTTTAAATAACCGGCCCATTGTGTTTTAGCTTGTTTGCAGCGTTTTTGATAATGAAATAAGCTCATTTTTGCAAAAAACAAAAACGTCCTTTTCACCCGAATTGAGCGTTTTTGTCAACTATAGCGTAAAATTTGGCCAAAAGATCGTGCGTTTCTGCCGGATTTTAGTGTTTTTAGACAGATTTCATTGTGATCTTGTGAAAAACATATGGTTTCAGCTAGTTTGTAGCGGTTTGGCAGTTATCTTGGCGAAAAATGGGTAAATCAGCCCAAAAGTTTTTTTTTCCGGTTCTAAGAATTTTGTTGCCCAAATTTCACTGAGAACTTCGTGTTTTAGCTGGATTTCAGTGTTTTTGCACAGATTCTATCGCTATTTGACTGAAAACATCACGTTTAAGCTTGTTTGCAGCGTTTTTGGCCGTGAAATAAGCTAATTTTTGCAAAAAATCAAAAACGTGTTTCCAGCCCAAATTGACAACAAGCAGACACAACGACATTTGCTTATTGCCTTCAAGTTGTTATTTGTTTTATTATCCTAACTCATGAAGTTGATTTTGGTATTTCGAACAAAAACCCTACTCTAGCATTAATGGAATGACATATCGTGCACCTACTTAGAAGAAAGAACACTTTTTTTAATTAAGAAAAATAACTTTTTATTTCGTTTAAGGATCACTGGATATAACCTGTACAACCAAGATGAATTTACATTCATTATTTGCCATAACTTACACCAAATTAGAAAGTCACGCAAGTTTGAAAGTCACGCATTTACATTGATAGTTCGGGTAGGCAGATGATTTGGAATTTTTCTTTGAGGCAAAGATTACATCTTTTACTTGAGCTGTTGTACGGCGAGTGTGACGAGAGAATGCGCCAGGAAATAAAGTGCTCGATGTTGTTGTCTTTGAGGGTCCAGATGTGCTTGCTGAGTTCGGTGGAGTTTCTGTGTTTAGCGTGGCGGAATGATGCGGTGTGGTTTCTGTATCTTGTTTTGAAGTCGTTCTCCGTGAGTCCGATGTACGTTTCTGTCGTGTTGTTGTCTTTGCGTGTGACGGTGGCTTGGTAAATTACTGATGGTTGCAGGCAGTTTCCGTCGAGCGGGCATGCGTTCTTTTGTCGGCAGTTGCATGTCTTGTTATTAATTTAAGATACGGTCACTACGGACTACGGACTACGGTAATACACGGCGAGGACCTGGTTCGAGATTTACTGCGCATGCTCGATAGCACGTGGGTTTCGCAGTCCGTCGTGTGGTTGCAGGCTACGGGGAGTAGTCGAGGAGATTCGCGTAGTGAGGACTACGTAAGTATTTTTTTGCCGATTTTTGACCAGTTTTGTTTTCTAAACGCTACTTTTATGTTGAACAGTCTTTAGGCAATTAAACTTGAGCGAAAAAGAAGTAAAAATCGCATTTTTTTTCTGTTTCTGGTTCTGCTTACTGACGCCCTTTGAATTCTGTTGTGTTTACAAGCAGATTAGGATGTCAACAGGAGATGAAAGCCGGTAATTCACTTTCTTTTTCTACTTTTCAAAGGTGAACTGCGAACTTTGTTGGAAGTATGTACTTTTTCCAAATCAAAACAGATTGTAAAAGCTTTTACAGGGTTCGTACAGGTCATGGAAAACCTGGAAAGTCATGAAATTTAAGAATTCATTTTCCAGGCCTTGAAAGTCATGGAATTTAATTGTCGGTCATTGAAAGTCATGGAAAATTGAAGTTATGTTTGCTAGACTAGTTCGTGCACAGTCCAAAATAAGGACAAAAAGACGTAATTAAACGGCTTTTAGAAATGGCACATATGGTGGACACTAAAGTGTTATCTGTTGCACTGAGTAAGGTAAATACCCTAAATAAAAACAAGGATAGTTTTGAAAATTTTCTTAAGTGACAGCTATAACCAAAGTCATGGAAGACTGGAAAAGGTCATGGAAAAAGTAATGAAAAGTCATGAAATTTGAAGGGCTCAAAAGAGTACGAACCCTGTTTTATATAAACGGAAACTTCATTGTCAATCATGACACTGACTGGGTATTTGTTTGTCTCTTTAGTGTGTGCTCCAGTGGCGAGTCAGCCGTCTCTGTTCGAACAAAGTAAGCTCACATGTCTGAAAATGGCATTTGTATAAATCGTTTTTCAAATGCTCATACATTAATTTATATACTGGTTTTGTGTCCTAAAATTGATATGCAGAAGGAGAGTTGAAGCTTGGGAAGGGAAGCTAATGGAGAACTATGGCGAATCAAAATCTGATACAATGACCAAATTGGGAGTCTTATGTTTACTTTGGATTTAAAATTAATGTTTTTTTAATTTAACCTTGTTTCCCAAATAAAATAATTTACTGACTGGAGACAGCAGCCTAAGGACAGCTTTTTATGGTGTTATTGATCAACAGGTGATAAAACGTGATTGGCAGGATGCAATTTTGTACTAAGAAAATACTTTGATGCTACGTATTAATTTTATAAAATGTGTTCCTTTTAGTGGGCCGTTTCGTTGAATGAAGCAAAAA